TTTCTTTATGTTTTTCAATGTTAAATATTCTCGATATGAGACATTCTCTGTTTTTGTGTTAGTAATCCGAATGTCTTTCTTGAATTGGCAATGAAGAGTTCTGCGCGAAGGTCATAAAACAATTAAGATTGGTCCAAGAGAAATGATGAATTACTTATCGGCATTTTATCTTTTAATGTTTTAATGACCGCTGTGTGTTCTTAGATCTGTTTCCATTTTCGTGTGTTTCTGTCAGCATGCAGGTATATATGCGTGCGTATATTCCCCCTCCATACATATACTGTCATATTACGATGTGTGTGTGTGTTTAAAAAATTAAAAGAAAACAGCTAACTTCATAACTTTTTATTATTTAAAATGTATAATGCACAAATTAATCCCAAACTAAAATAATCATTGAAAAATCTCTTTTGTTTATTAGACATTAATTACATCATTTAATTTAACTAGACCTTTTCAGATAACCTGATGTTTATTTGTGATAGTTCTTAGTTATAAACAAAAATGAAATGTGTTACTTTTGTTTATAAATACTTGTTACAAAATATAATCTTTACATTTGTCTTGATAAAACCCACCAGAGAATAAAATGTTTTTTTCTTTTTGTCATAATAACATTTTTAATAAAAAATCATGTCTCCCTTCTATCTATCTATCTATCTATCTATCTATCTATCTATCTATCTATCTATCTATCTATTTGATACGTTTGATAATTGATACCACTATTTTTCAATGACTATAAGAGTTCTTTTACATTTGTTTCACTTTCTATTAAATTTATTTAAAGCTAATTATGGGGGTGGGTTCAAGCTTTTGAATTGTAATATATATATATATATATATATATATATATATATATATGAAGAAAATTTGAAAGAAACAAACAAAAATCCTTAAATGCAATTATGTTGGTTAAAATGAATAAACCTTTATCAAGACAATATTCATTAAAATACAATTCAGTTCAATTTGACAAAGACGATGGACACAAAAAACAAGTCTTATCCAAAACAGATAACTGAAAATTTTTAAAATGATCAGCTTTCCGTTTTGGATAAGACTTGTTGTTTATGTCCATCGTCTTTGTCAAATTGAACTGAATTGTATTTTAATGAATATTGTCTTGAAAAAGGTTTATTAAACCGAAACGTCAGACGTCGACATTTCATTCATTTTAAACAACATAATTGCATTTAAGGATTTTTGTTTGTTTTTTCCAAATTTTCTTCATTCTGTCGGATCTATATCCATTTACATTTGCTTACACACACACACACACATATATATATATATATATATATATATATATATATATATATATATATATATATATATTAAGAAATAGACAAAGTCCGACAATTTATTTATTAAAGACATTTTTTTTATGTTTAACGTTCTTTTTTATAGATACAAGTATTTAAGTAAATGCTCTGTTTATAATAAACAGTATTAAATAACATTTACCGGCCTGAAAAAGAACGTTAAACATAAAAAAAAATGTCTTTATATATATATATATATATATATATATATATATATATATATATATATGACAAAGGGGAAAGATATTATACCAGCGCGTTTCGTTCCTTGAACCATTTTATAATGGCAATTGAAGAAATTTTATTAAATAACGATCCTTCAAAGTATGATTATTCAAATAAAAATCCAAAGAAGCGTTTGTAAGGTTTTGCTTTGGTCTTTATTATTCATATTGAAAGTTCACAGATATATATATATATATATATATATATATATATATATATATATATATATATATATATATATATATATATATATATATAACAGAAGTCAGCGTTCCTACTTTTCTATACAGTCACCAGTGTGTCTATAAAGAGAGGAGCGTTCAAGTTAGACCCAAGATAAACGTTTCCAAAACAGAAACTATGATCTGGAATTGGAATGAAAACAGTGATGGCACCTGCCCTGTAAACATCGTACAATTTCAAGGTGTGGAATTAAAAATTATAAGTAAAACTTTATATACCTTTGTGTATCAATCAGTTATTTTTCATGGTAATTTCAAACCAAGTAAGATCATAGAGGCAAATAATAGATTTTTATGGCATAATTCTCAAAGGTTTAATATTTTCGCAAAGTGGCATGATGGAGTAATGAATTGCAACTCGGAGTGCTGAATCGGAATGTCGCGTTCGTTTCATTCATTCTATGTGCATGAAAAAGATATGAATCCAATTTTCTAAGCACTTCAGTTCAAGCAAGGCAATAAAGTCACTAAGACACAAGGGGCTACAGAGTGTGAAAGGATATAAAAAAAAATAGAAAAAAAAAAACAAACATTATTAAGGAGAAGAACAATAAAAGAAATTAAGAAGAGAAAAAATAACGATCGACATTGTATTTTAGTTTTAGAAAATCAAAGTTTTTTTGGAAACCGGAAAATAATTCCAGAAGCGAGAAATATGATAGAAAAAAAATGCTAGCATAATACTTGCGGTTACATCTAGCTATTTCAATTGCAAAATTGATGAGACCTACCTTCTAATCTAGTACCGCGCTTAAATTCGTAAAATGCAGGTGCCAAAGAGATAAAGGTCATTAGAACAATTACCATGAAAATACTGATAGAAAAGACACAGGCAAACTACGTGACGGATGTGGGTCTGAAGAAGAGATGCCAGCTAGGTACCAATAACATTGCAGATTTTTCTTTGGATTTTATCAAGAATCACTAAATACTTAACCGAAACACCACACCAGATGGGACCACAATACTCAATGCCTGAATAAAACATTTAGTATCGAAGATAAGGGAAATAAATACAGGCGAGATTTGTATGGTTGTACTTATGTCCTACACCGCTCCGACTAATATTTAAATGATACAGTATATACCACTACAGAAAATATATTTTTGTTTCCATTTTCTTTGGCATTGGTCAGATGTTCAGTCGATGGTATTCTCAGCATCCTTCTGTAGAACCATACTTATATATAAATAGCTGGCCTCTCCAGTCCGATAACATCAGGAACTCTCCCTCCTAACAAATCAGCCGTGAGGAGATTCGAACAAGGATCTCATTGTCAGAAAGCGAACGTTCTAACTACTCGGCCACGCGCCCATACGGTCTGCCTTTTTTGGCTTTCGTTACCTTCTTTATAGAAGAAGAAAAAATTAAAAATTATATATATATATATATATATATATATATATATATATATATATATATATATATATATATATATATATATATATATATATATATATATATATATATATATATATAATTTTAATTTTAATTTTTTTTTTTTTTCTGTAGTTTAGCAAGCAGAAATATTTCTTCTCCCGATGATTTTGGCCGAAACTAGTCGAGGAAAAAAAACGAAAGAATATTAATCTACAACCCAGTGTGTCTGAAGATTTTAATTTTTTAATATTTTTTTATTGTTCAATGTATATATATATATATATATGTGTGTGTGTGTATGTATGTGTGTGT